ATTGTGTGTGTGTGTGTGTGTGTGTGTGTGTGTGTTTGGGTGTGTGTTTGCATCAAAGAGAAAAAAGAGAACCACAGGAAGGACGGCGCACACAAATTGAATCACTTTTACACACATTTACCTGAGTTCTCCTCGTTCACCTTTTGAATGTTTAGAAAAGGTTTAGGCCCAAGATAATGTGAGTTGTGAACGTTTACATTGCGAATAGAAGCGTCATTCTTGTCCTGGTTTATTTGTCTTCAATTCAACAAACTGTTGACCACTTTGAAGGCAGAGCACTCAGTTTCTTAACTCGAAGAAAGATAACAAAAGAGAGATAAATTAATAATCTTACACGATTATTTTGCTTTTTTAGCGGATTGCCATCCGTTGCTCCTTGTTGTTTTAGTCGTTATTCCCTCCTTCTTTAGATTGGAATAAGAACATTTCCCTAATTTCTCTAATAAAGGACCTCATCGTCTGTATTGAAGTTTCCTTCAAAATGTTGAAGAACGTTACTGTCATCATCATCTACATCAGCTCCGTTGTCGTTTAGGTAGTCAAAATTTGAGAGCAGAGTCTCCACGTGAGCGCTGTCGTCGTCATCGTCGTTGTCATGGTTGTATTTCCTTCTGCTGGCGTAGCCATGTTTGCCGGCGAGAGAACCAGACAGGCTGCCGTTGGCCGGCTCTTCTTCTCTCAACTCTCTGAGCACGCCTGCCTGGGTCGAGGAAGGTCTGTCGTGTAGGAGCTGGCCCGGGGTACTGAGGGAGAAGTTGTTCACTTGACGAGAACTTCCGCCGAACAACGACACGTCTCCGCGAGATGACAGGGAAAAGTTTTCGTTGCCAGTCCCGGCGACAGACCGAGAGAAGTTGCTGTCTGTTTGAGATCTTCCCCTGCTGGACCTGAGCTCGACGAGAGCCTCGGTGGTAGAGCTCAACTCGTGGATCCTTCCCAGCCGACCTCTGTCGTCAAGCACGCTCTGACTCCGAGCTGGGAGGGCAGCAGGCTTCTCACGACGTGGGTTTTGAGATCGTGAAAAGAAATTGTTTTCAATATCATCGTCGTCGTCATCATCATCATCGTCGTTGTCGTAATCTGAATATGCAGACGGAGCCTGCGCAAATCTGTCTAAAGACCGGACGACGTGGGAGTAGCTTGGAGGATTGTCTTCCTTGTCCTGACCAAAGAGCATAGCTGAAGCGTCGTGAAGACTGACAGCGCGCGGAACGTACCCAGCAAGCCTCTCATTCCTGATCACCTCGGAGGCAGATCTCTGAGGGCGCATCCCTTGGCTTTGGTGACTACCGAGGAAACTGTGCTTCGGATCTCGCCGCAAGAGGTCGGAAAACATTCCAGAGCCCCTTTTCTTCTCTTCATTGTCTAGAAGGTCATAATCTGAACCAGAATACTGCGTTTGACGCTTCAATTCTCGCTGTTGCTGTTGTTGTTGTTGCTCTTGTAGTTTCTGCTGTTTCTTCTTGTTACTCTTGCTGCTGTTGTTGTTGTGCACCATGTTGTTATTGTTGTGGTTTACGCTGTTTTTATTATTCTTGCTGTTGTTGTTGTTGTTGCTGTTGCTGGGGCCTCTTGCGTAAGAGGTGGCCGTGTTCAGAGACGGCTCTGACGTGAAGCTCGCGCCATCGATGTGGTACTGACGACGAGACACTGGGAGGTCTTCGAATATTTCATAAGCAAGTGGCTTCTTCTTCAGTTCGTTCGTGCCAGCAATGCGATCTTCCAGTTCTTTCACTGCTTCCTCCACTTCTTCACGAGTCTCTACTCTCCGATTTTCCACTGGGCGACTTTTGAAAATAACGTTCTGATCGGCAGAGAATTTCGACCCGTTACGCTCGTTACTTCGAGATGATACACCATTTTTCACTAACCCTTTGGGCTGCACCTTTTGGTCTTTACCGGCATTGAAGCTAAACAACCTTTTCTTTTTCTTGGAAGCCTCAGCCACATTGTTGTTGCTGTAAAATCCCTCTGGTGAATGTTCTGTCTTACTCTTCCGCATGCCCATAAACACACGGGTAAAGGAGAACATCCTCTCTACGAACTCAAACTGGCATAGTCCTTCACTTTGGGAAGTTTAGAGGTGGGTTACTATAATCGTTCCTTCCTCTTGCACTTTCAGGAGCGTACTGAATTCGTTCCGCTTCCCCTTGCGACAGAGTTATGAGTGTTCCTAGTCTAGTTCTCAGCACAGCTATAACTGTACTTTTGGGCTTACCATATCCACTGTTGATAAACAGTCTCCAATAGCGATCGGTGACCTGCTTGTGTAAGATATAAATATACGAAACGATAGCGTTATCTTGGAAAGGACAAAAGGGAGAGAGAGAGCCTAAGTTGTCATAAAGAGATGCAGAGGACGCTGTGCAAATGCCACTGACGACTGATGATCCGGGTCAATTCTTGCCACAGGAAGCACACAGTAATTAGCGTTCTGGCTTGTGAGCGTGGTTCTCCAAGGGGTCACGGTTTGGGTTTTGCAACAGTCGCTGTCTGTAGA